CCCGTTAGCGCACACCGACCAACAGTTTTAGTGGTCTACGTGCTTGGGTAATGCGGGACAATATAAAACAATAAATGGATTTTATGATTTATTTATTGTAAAATAATTTTAAAATGTAATAATTAATTTATTATTTACAAGTTTAATACAATTTTGACTACCTTGTTCTGCCGCTGGTGAAGAGAGAAAGGTGCCTTCTGCGTTCTGGCTGACACTGGGTTCTTCACTTATAAGCTCCCGTACTTGTCTCTTCACCTCCTGTCTGTCGTCTGGAGTCAACATTTTCAGTGATTTAAATCTGGGACAGAGAAAAGTGCCGACCTTGTGTGTGAAAGTTAGGAGCATCTTCTCATCAAGCAGGCTGGATGCGCGAGCACGGAGAAGGACTATGTATGATGGATCTCCAAACTTGGGCTCACAGTGTCTCTTAAGTTTGAAAAACCAGAGTAACACCATGTGAATTGTTGGGTATTTTTCTCCTTCAAGCTCGTTAATGGCTAATTTGAAGAGAGTGAGGAATTCAATCAAGTGCATGAGCTGGTCTTGAAAGATGCCCTCCATCCGATGCAGCTGGCCTTTGTCTTCCAGAAGCTGTCTAATGTCACTATACTGTTTTAGTATAGATTCCAGCATGTCGACTTTACTGTTCCATCGAACTTCACATTCTTGAATGACAGTGTGCGCTAAACTTGCAACAGCACCTGTTCTCTTCAGAAATGTCACCAGGCTTTTGCTTTTTTTTGTTCGGGCCCTGGTCACTAACAAAAATGATCTTGTCTGCTGTTATTCCATAACTCATTAACACAGTGGTTATTTGATCATGGATATTTTCGCTGGTTTTTTTTAGATGACTGTCAAATTCCACTGTTGCCAGAATGTGACTTTACAGATGCCACTTCTCGTCGATATAATGACATGTAAGAACAGTATATGCCCTCTTGTTAAATTCGTCTGTCCACATATCTGTGGTAATAGCAATCCCACTGTATTCCAAAACTTTTTGGATGGCCTCTGAAAGTTTTTCTTTACCAGCGGCAGCCTTTTGCTTTGTCCTGTCACAAACAGTTTGGCGATGGGGTATGATAAAAACAGAATTATACTGCATTTCATTTTTACAGTAATAAACTGTAAAATAATTTCACAGTACGAATACTGTAAATTTACAGTAGATTGCTGGCGACTCTGCTGCCAGCACATTACCGTTTTTTACAGACTTTTTTTTTTACAGTGTGGCTACAGAAATCACTTACCCCACCTTTAAGTCAGTAACAATTTTTTTTCAGTTACATTGATGCATAATTACAAGCAATTAACCCTAAACCAAACCCTGACTCTAACCCTATAATACGTACATGTTAGAGATGCGCGGATGAGCTAAAATGTCACCCGCATCCGCTGCTTCAAATAAATTATCCACCCGCCACCCGCCCGCACGTATAATTTTCTCTGATATAGATATCCGCACCCGATCATCACTTTAATTACTCTAATTCTTTGTTTTAAGCATGATGTTATCAGATTCAGTGACGTTAGAACTAATCTGCCAATCTCTGATAATAAAATAATACGCTGATCGTAAGATGCTTTTAATTGAACATTTATTTATAAAACAAAAGTTTGTCTTTGGCCAGATTAGCCTACATTTTCTTAATAAAATAAACAGGCTTTACTCCATTCAGACTTTGAATATCGCCGTTTCTGTCACTGCAACACGCAACACACAAACACACACAAATGACTGGATAACGGTAAATTTTCTAGCCCTGTCTGTTCAAATAATTTGGAATATTATACTGCAACTTTCCAAACAGATATACAAAGTAACAATTAAGATTTTTTTTCTCTCCAAAAAACAGATATAGAACAAAGGCCTATCGATAACAAAACGGTGCCAATTCAGCCTAAACGCCATGTTGTTGGATTAGCTACTTGGCTTTTTCCTTTGCACTGTGCAAAAACAGAATAGCATCTACTGTGCCAGGATTCAGACGATTCCGCCTCGCCTCTAAAACGCGGCCTGCTGCACTAAATGAGCGTTCGCTTGGACTGCTTGTTGCAGGAATGCACAAGATTCTTCTAGCAAGGCGCCGCAGTCGTGGGAATATGCGATCTTGTTTCTCCCAGAACGAAAGCAAATTTTCCTCTGAGGACTCATCTAACTGAAAGTTTGAAGAACAGTACTCTTCCACTTCATCCATCATTCTGGGTGTCTCTTCTTCCCATTCTGCGAAGTCCACCTTCTGCTTTTTCGCTCGTCCGCTGCCATGTTCCGCTGCAACGGGGATTTAAACCCGTTAGCGCACACCGACCAACAGTTTTAGTGGTCTACGTGCTTGGGTAATGCGGGACAATATAAAACAATAAATGGATTTTATGATTTATTTATTGTAAAATAATTTTAAAATGTAATAATTAATTTATTATTTACAAGTTTAATACAATTTTGACTACCTTGTTCTGCCGCTGGTGAAGAGAGAAAGGTGCCTTCTGCGTTCTGGCTGACACTGGGTTCTTCACTTATAAGCTCCCGTACTTGTCTCTTCACCTCCTGTCTGTCGTCTGGAGTCAACATTTTCAGTGATTTAAATCTGGGACAGAGAAAAGTGCCGACCTTGTGTGTGAAAGTTAGGAGCATCTTCTCATCAAGCAGGCTGGATGCGCAAGCACGGAGAAGGACTATGTATGATGGATCTCCAAACTTGGGCTCACAGTGTCTCTTAAGTTTGAAAAACCAGAGTAACACCATGTGAATTGTTGGGTATTTTTCTCCTTCAAGCTCGTTAATGGCTAATTTGAAGAGAGTGAGGAATTCAATCAAGTGCATGAGCTGGTCTTGAAAGATGCCCTCCATCCGATGCAGCTGGCCTTTGTCTTCCAGAAGCTGTCTAATGTCACTATACTGTTTTAGTATAGATTCCAGCATGTCGACTTTACTGTTCCATCGAACTTCACATTCTTGAATGACAGTGTGCGCTAAACTTGCAACAGCACCTGTTCTCTTCAGAAATGTCACCAGGCTTTTGCTTTTTTTTGTTCGGGCCCTGGTCACTAACAAAAATGATCTTGTCTGCTGTTATTCCATAACTCATTAACACAGTGGTTATTTGATCATGGATATTTTCGCTGTTTTTTTTTAGATGACTGTCAAATTCCACTGTTGCCAGAATGTGACTTTACAGATGCCACTTCTCGTCGATATAATGACATGTAAGAACAGTATATGCCCTCTTGTTAAATTCGTCTGTCCACATATCTGTGGTAATAGCAATCCCACTGTATTCCAAAACTTTTTGGATGGCCTCTGAAAGTTTTTCTTTACCAGCGGCAGCCTTTTGCTTTGTCCTGTCACAAACAGTTTGGCGATGGGGTATGATAGCATCAGCGTCAACTGCACCGTACTTGGCACCGATATTTATTAGTGTTTGGGCCACTTGGAGGAATCCTTTGCCAGAGACAACATCGAAGGGGCGTATATCTAGGCAGCACAGGTCCACGCATGCATCCACGAGACTAGACTTAACTTCCAGTGGTATTTTTTTGCTGTCCCGACGAACGTAAGAACTTAAGGTGTTTGTCTGACTTGACTGGCCTTTCGATTTAGCACACACATGATGTACCATATTCGAGGTACCAGTCTTGTGGCTTTCATATACATACAGTGCTTCACAGTCGTTGCATATTACATACCCAGCACTTGATTCATCCTCGTTAACCACTTCGCTAAAACGCTCCCACACGACACTTTTCTTTCCTTCCTTTTGTTTTGTTTTTAATTCTCCCTTTTTAATTTTCTCTCTGATCTGTTTCGCCTCCATTTCTGCTTTAAGAAATGGACCCCCCCCCTCCTGCCGCCACGCGCGCCTTTTTTTTTTTTTTAAATGAGTGCAAATTAGCGTCTGCCTGATGAAAAATGCATTTAAAACACATTCGTATTTTAGAGAAATGTAGTTAATATTTGCATCATTAATGACTGATCTCATCCACCCGCGACCCACCCGCAATTAATCAGAATGTATTTTTTTATTACCCGACCCACCCGACCCGCGGATCATCCGCAGCGTCCGCGGATGTAACCGCCATCCGCGCATCACTAGTACATGTTGTTAATTAATATTACTTATTTAAATAACTGTGTAATTACAATGTAACAGGAATACCTTAAAGCTACGAGAATACTTTTTGTGCGCAAAAGAAAAAATTGTTCACAATAAGATCTATAACATGCATTTAAAACTAGATTGTACATTTTGATTTCATGTCAAGTTTAAAAGAAATCTACAATGGCACAGAAAAATAAATGATGTTTTAGTAGAGTTAAGCTTGCAATTATCTGAAATGAATGTGCTCAGAGAGGAAAACCAAGTCTGGGTGTAGCGAAAGAAGACAATTCTTTTTGTTGTGTTTTCCTTGCTGGTTGCACGCAACAACATACAGTGTGAGCAGTGAAGTCTGATTTGTGAATTCTTGCGAACCAGTTCTTTTTAATTATTTTGTCAAAAAAATTAATAAATAAAATAAAGACTTTTTTATGTTCATTAAGAGGTTACCAGAGATAGTATGGTTTTTGATTAGTATATAGTAAAGAAAATGTGGTGTAGGTGACCTGCTCAGATGAGCCAGCCTGTGTTTAGTATACAGCAGCAGATTACAGCAGGAGCAAACAGTTCAGCTCAATGGGAGTCCAATCAAGCCAGATGAACCTGGATAGACCTTAAAGGAAGAGTAAGTGATTTCTGGTAGCCAATGTTGATATTTGAAATCACCAAAACAAACACGCCCCTACCCCAAAAGGGTCTTGCCTCTATTTTGATAGCTCCGCCCCACATATACGTATGCAACCAAGGCAACGATTAGTTCTGTGAAACAAAGCAAAACCAATGTTACACCGTGTCTACGGACGTGAGCAAATCACATACCCTGCCTTTAATGGCCACAAATGTGCAAAATATAAACAGAAAGCTTCAGGAAAAAAAAAAAAAAGAAAAATCATTCAAACTGACCTTCCATACTTCTGACTTTCTGCAGTCGGCAATGAGGGTGTCCTTGATTCCTGTGATGCCGAATAAAGGAATCTGTTAGTTATGGCAATGAATCAGTTTAGCTGATGCACCAGGAGACTGAAAATCAAGAGAAAAATCCAAGAAGATGTACTGTCTGTTTTGAGTTTGTTCTGCATGAAGAGTGCACAGACATGTAAAAAAAAAAAAAAAAACAACTTAGAAATATTATAAATGAGCATGTATGTATATGTGTGTGTGCATGTGTGTGTGTAAAATACCATTTTGTTATTTTATGTAGATCTTGACCTGTGGATGTGTTTCCTAATCTGATTATGTATATTAAAAAAAAACATTTAAAATAATGAGCCATCTTACAGCCTTGGAAATTTGCTGAGGCCCCCCCTAGAATCACTGCAATATAGATATGTGAAAGTGCACCATTTATAATACTTTTAAAAACACACATACACCATTATCATCAGCTTATAATTACTTTTGAATCCATATCTTTAACATTGCAAAATTACTGTGTGTGTGTGTGTTATGACCAGTTTTCATCAAGTGTTGTGAACACAAATGCCAGTCCATAATTCTGTCGACCGGAAGTCATTAAGGTTCACAGAATGTAACACGCGCGCGGGAGAACTGAAGTTCCATTATGACATCATCAAACACTTAGCGTCTCCAAAAGTCATATTGACCCGTTCCCCGTTAAAAACGGAAACACCCGGAGCAGAGCTGTCAAAGTGAGCACAAGGGGACAAACTGAACCGGACTGGCTAACGTTAGCACAGCAGCTAACGGAAACTGTGACTCAATGACACATGCAAGACATTTACTGAGACAAACATAGCGCAAAAAAACGGAACACAATCCATATTGCACCTTGTCTCCTTATTGGCACCAAAACAAACGCCTAAACAACTTCATAAAACGACTGAAACTCTCTGAGCAAACCCAGGATAAACCCATCTCTTAAAACTTCTGACAGCTCTTGCTCTGAGCTGAACTCTTATAAATGACGATGTGTCTGTAGAAAATCACCTGATTACTCAATGAACTTACTTTGCCAAACTATTGTTTTCAAGCCGTGGTCTGCTGCAGTTGCCATCTTGAGTTGAGACGAAACGCATGCGCACCTCCGTCCTCTGGGAGGAGTGAGAGCGCGCGTGAATGTGGATAGTTTTGCCAGAAGATGTGCGCAGATTTATAAACGCATGATAAGTATGGGATTACATAAGCATCAAGCACAGATCGTGCTTAAAGGGGTCATATGATGCGATTTAAATTAATGTTCTTTTCAGCAACATCATATGACCCCTTTAAGCACAATTTCTGAAAATTAATAAGAATAATTTCACCATGCACTCCTCACAAAACCACAAAAACAGTAAAAATACTACATATGTCTGGTTCCAGAATTATACAGTATAATCATGCATACAAAATAAATGTTTTACTACCTTAAAATTACACAAAGTAAATTGTGGGGAGATGTCTCCTTTTAATTGTTTTTTTTAATAAAAGATTGCAGGGACAGCATACCTGTGTGTGTAACACTTTAGAATGAATGTTCTTTAGGCTACCTAACTGAGTACTAAAACTAACTACACAAATGTGTATAAACTGCATTATTTACATTAGACTGCATAGGCTATACAGCATTAGACTTCTTGCTCCAGTCTTCTGTTACACCTGTTTACATGCATGTCTCATCTTCACTTCTGATTGGCCAGCTCATTCTCATCCCCAGCTCTTATTGGCCAGCTCTTCTGAGGAGGCGCGGTTAGGTTAAAGTATCTGAGATGCCTTAAAGAAAAGCTCCATGTATATTCAGACAAAACACAAGAAACTGAAGAGAGTGCAGAGTTTAGATTAAAAAGGAGAAATCAGGATTCAAACAGAGAAAACAGATGGCAGGCCTGGGAGGAATCAAGGGACTGGTGCTTTTGCTTGGAATAGTCTCACAAGTAAGTTATGTAGTTTTATTCATTCACTTCACATTTCCCTTTATTCATAATTTAAGTACTTTGTAACATGCAGCATAGAATAATGTGAATGAACAGGGAAATGGTACTTCTTTAAATAAAAAAGAATTAAGTAATAAAAGAAAAGAAACATTTTCTATGATTCTGTCATGCATTAATACGTTTAATGCATTAATACTAATTTTAAATTTGATGCAGTTATGAAAAACACTTGGAATTAAAAAAAAATAATCCAAATGTACTAATTACACTTGTTATGAATGTTTAGTCTAATAAAAGTAAATTGTTTCATTTACAGGCATCAGGTACTGCTCATCTGGATCAAATTAACAGTATCTGTTTAAATTCAAATTCACACTCATAAATACACTGTTCTTGATTATGATTTGTGTTATATTTAACCAGCATTAATGAATTCCTCAGACAACTAAGTTTCTTGTCTTTTACAGGCAGCACAATAACAGTGAGTATTTTTACGGTGACATCAAAGAGTGCGGTGTTGCGCTGGAGCAAATATGAAGGCGCATTGTCCTACAGAGTAACAGCTTCTCTCCGAAACTCTCAAGTCCCTGTGGTCTTTGCCAGCTTTGGACAGAACACCATAATGGGCTCCGTTAATTCCCTGAATCCCAACACTGCATACACCTTTCGTGTCGAGGCCCTGGGTAGCCACATGAACATGCTGACAGATGCTACTGTGGATGGATCTACTGGTGCGTACTGAAATCTACACATGGCTTGCTAAAGAGTAGTGATGGGATCTAGGAGGTAATATGTCTCAGTGTGAAAAAAAAACTTTAAGCATTCTTAGAATTGAAAGAAATTTCCATGATCTTTCTATGCCTGGAAATGACCATTTTTAAATTCCCTGATAATTCCAGGTTTTCCATATAGAATCCCTGATTAGCAACTTGTTTGTTGAATTGACCTTGTTTGCAGTTTAATATTTTTGAATCAGTTAGGCTCCCAGTGTTAACTGACGATGTGTGAAATTAATGGAACTTTAACATTTCTAATTTTTTGTTCAGCTCCTGATGTGCCCTCCATTGTGATGGCCTCCTCTAAAGAAAGCCAGAGCATCACTGTGGAATTCACTACGGTCTCCGGTGCCACTTCCTACATCCTGCGTGCTGAGACAAATGATGGATCTTTCTTCTCAGAGATCTCAGTACCCGGCTCTCCGGGGACTGTCACCAACCTCCAGCCATACACAGACTACACTCTCAGTGTCATGTCCGTCAACAGCGCAGGCAGAAGCCAGCCTTCCATCTCCGTGGAGGCTAAGACAGGTATATTCTTCTACTCTCTCTCCCCCCTCTTTGACCTCGAGGCCAAAGAAATGATCCATTCATGAAGGGACAGAGTTGGCTATTCTCTAACCCTCACCCAGTGCTGTAACCTTATCCTCTCATTGAGAAAGATCAGGATAAGCTATATGGCTGATCTCATGGGCTTGATTTTTAGCAGCATGCATAGCTTGTGTTCACATTTTCAATGGAATAGGTTTCTCACGCATGTATCCCTAAGTAACAATATCCGGGTTTGCTCTTTAGGCAAAATAGGCAAAATATGAGAAGTTGAACTATGACAAAAGGGCTGCCCTCCTCAAGGGACTGGGCACAGGAAATTAATTCTCTGTCTTCACCTCAGGGCCCTTAGCAGTTTTGTGTCATTGTTCAGGTAGCACGTTTTCCACCTGAGATGGTCACCAAGGAAATAATAATGGAAGGTAACTTAATTCTCAGAATAGTCTCGATGTGAAATCCTATCACAAATATCCACAGAATTACATCATGCATATGATCCAAACAGAACAATGGGGTGTTTTCTTCAAACCACTTAAGCAATCTGAGACCTGTTCCAGTTATGACACACCAGGAAGTGGTAAGAGCAGAACCAATGCCTAGGGTTTAGTAAAAAGAATCCAGTTTCCAAACGAAACTGTGGAAGGGAAGGGATCAGTAAAGAACAGGAGAGGGACAGACAGGACATTTCAGGCAGGACAGAACTAGAAATGGACACGGCTAGAGAGGGAAGGGAACAGAGGGACTGAAGACGATGAAAGACACCAGAATGGGCCTAAAGGGAATGGAAAGGAACGGAAAGAAATGGGAGAGAACCGAAATGAATGAGAGAGGGATGAATAGGAAATGCCAGGACAGGACAGGACAGGGCAAGACAGGAAATGAAGGGATGGAAAGTGAAGAAGTGGAAAGGAAAGGAAAGGAAAGGATGAGACAGGACAGGAATAGACAGGACATTCGGGAAAGGAAAGGATGAGACAGGACAGGAATATACAGGACATCCGGGAAAGGAAAGGAATGGATGAGACAGGACAGGAATAGACAGGACATTCAAGAAAGGAAAGGAAAAGAAAGGCTGAGACAGAACAGGACAGCAATAGACAGGACATTCAGGAAAGGACAGGACATAAAAGGACAGAACAGAACAAGGCAGGAAAGGAAAGGAAAGGAATGGAATGGATGAGACAGGACAGGAATAGACAGGACATATAGGAAAGGAAAGGAAAGGGATGGATGAGACAGGACAGGAATAGACAGGACATATAGGAAAGGAAAGGAAAGGAAAGGAAAGGAAAGGAAAGGAAAGGAAAGGAAAGGAAAGGAAAGGAAAGGAAAGGAAAGGAAAGGAAAGGAAAGGAAAGGAAAGGAAAGGAAAGGAAAGGAAAGGAAAGGAAAGGAAAGGAAAGGAAAGGAAAGGAAAGGAAAGGAAAGGAAAGGAAAGGGATGGATGAGACAGGACAAGAATAGACAGGACATTTAGGAAAGGAAAGGAAAGGATGAGACAGGACAGGACAGCAATAGACAGGACATCCAGGACATGGCATGAAAAGACAGGAAAGAAAAAGACAGGACATAAAAGGACAGAATAGAACAAGGCAGGAAATGAAAGGAATAGGTACTGCTCCTATTACATAAAGCCATCTGACACCTGTCAACTGTCCCTCATATCCATATCACTAAATTAATTTAGGATCAGAATTAGATCACTTAGCTTGGTAGTCAATAAGTATCTTCAATACTTTTGGTTACAATGCAGATGTCTGTCTGATCTCTCACTATTATCTTTTCTCCCTCTTCTGTTGGACCCCAGTCCTTCCTGCTCCTCAGCTCAACACCAGCTCTCCCAGCAACAGCAGTATCCTGGTGAAGTGGGAGCCAGTGAATCACGCTGTCCTCTACAGTCTCAGCATCATCAAGGATGGCTCGTACAGCAAAATTAGCCTCAATATCACAGAAACTCAGGTTCACTTTCCAGACCTGGAGGCAGGAACCAAATACTGCATTAAAGGAAATGCCTGGAGTCCTGAGAACATTCCCGGAGATGACTTCACAGTTTGCCAAATCACACGTAAGACAATAGAGATGGAAAGAGAGAGTTTACTTCATGCTTAAGTAGGCAGAAACTGTTACACTTGATACACACACAGTTTCTGTCATACCTGTAAATACCTGTAACACTTAAGGAAAAGAAAGGGGTCAGTAAAAGAGCAGCAAACAGAGCATGCACACCAAGTACAGCATGTTAGGCAGAGTTGTCCAATTCTGCTCCTTGGACTGCAAAACCTGTCACAGAGTTTAGCTTCTGTTTAACACACCAGGGGCCAGTTGCATAAACTTAGCCTCTATTTTAAGACAGTGTCTTAAGAAGTAGTTTGACCAACTAGCAGTTATCCAAAAGGTAATCAGTCTTATATTTTGGATTCAGCTTAGATCTACGTTTTGATGTAACCGAATTTTAACAATTTTGACCAGTCTTAAAGAACAAAATTAGATGACTAACTTTTGAATGAATGAACGTTTCTGATAGAGCCTTGATTACCTGGTTCAGGTGTTTAATTATGCTTGAAGCTAAACTGTGCAGGACAGTGACCTTTCAGGAGCAGGAATGGACACCCCTGAGGTTAGGAAATCTTCACAGCTAAAACTCTGCGATAGCTGGCACATTAAACTTTGTGTGTGTGTGTGTATATGTCCGCAGGTCCTCCCACTCCTCAGTCCATTGAGCTGGTGGTGACAAGCACCCCTGATGCTGGTATTGTGGTGTCGTGGGACCCAGCTAAGGGTGCAGAGCAGTATGTCGCCTTGAGCTTGACCGGACAGAACTGCTCCTCATCTACTAACTCCTGCATCCTGATTCCTCTGAGCTGTGGAGAGACAAACTCTGT